CTAAGAACTGAGGAAAGAGAACACACCTTTGACAAATCAATAGGATGCAAATAGCAGATGCCGAGTGCCAAATGAGTGAGGTAAACAATAAGAGATACAGGTAGGAAAGATCACCATCCATCCCATCACTGCTGTGAAGAAGGCTTCAGGGAAGTGGGACTTAGACTAAAGATTTAAGGAAAAGTAGAACTCTACTGTAAGCCTTTCAAACACCGTGCATGTAGTATGATCACAGGTGCTTGGTGGAGTGAGGGGTTGAGTAGTGAGTGCGATATTTTAATTAATAGGTGCAATAGTTTGGCTGGAATCAATTATTCTTGTTGTAGGATTATGTGGTAGATGAGGCAGCTAAGGACCAGATTGTGAAATCTTAAAGTTGTGATTGCTAATATGTGTTTTCCTTCTTCATTAGTCTGTAAAATTCTTGTTAGCAACTTTATCTTATTTAATTAAATAAGATAGCATTGCTAACTTAAGAATCGTGTGTTGACAAAAGACAGAAGGCACGGAGAGAGAGAAGGGAAGGAGAGAGAGAGTAAACCAAAGGAGAGAGATAGGTGCGTAGGGAGGGAGGAAGGAAGGGGGGAAAGATCTGGCAACAGTATGGCATACAGAAGTTATTGGAAACCGAAAATAAAGAAAAGAGAGAACAATTATACATTGAATCCTATTGCATGCTATATATTATGATGTAGCATCCAATAGGGTTCAATGTATAATTTACTCCATATAGAGAGTAATTCACCCACAGTCAGGGTGTCCACATCTCCTGACAGGTCTATTAGAACAATATAATATGGCACCTAGAAGATAATAGCTGATTGTTTCCAAGGTAATTCACAAAGACTACACAGAGGAAATGAAATTTTGGTAGGCTCATAAAGACAAAAATGATCTTAACAAATGGAGAAGGGCAGGGAGCTCTAGGTAGAGAATGAATCCTATGCAACAGCACAGAGAAAGCAAAGATGGTTGACTTGATGAATCATCAGAAGTTTGCTGTGACTGGTATGTATTTAAAGAACTAGGTTTTGAGTAGATTGTGAATTTTGGACTTGATCTTGTTATGCAGTGTTATGTTATCCAAAGCTCTGTGTGCTCCTGGCAAGATCCCCAGAACCCACTCCCCCACCACCTACCCAACCTTGTAGCTTTCAACAATCTGCCTAAGCAACCAAGAGTTCTAATCATTTCATGCTTTGTATCCCTGTTTATGTCAGTCTCTAGAGAAAGTTAATCCCAGGCCATACCTCATTTCTAAGCTATCATCTCTTATAGCTGAGCACATTCACTAATCTGACTACATTTTCTATAACTCCTTAAATTTCCATTCAAGTAATTATACTTACAGCCCATTATCAGCAAAATCCATTATATGTTGTCTATATGTTATACCTCTTCTCTCATTCTTTCTTCTTATTGTCTTTATCGCTAAAAAATTTAAGTTTCTAGATAAATCCTTGGATTTATTCTCTCAGTTCAGTCCTCATGACCTCATCTGATTTCACATATTTAAACACTATCTATAAATTGAGCACTTCTATATTTAGATTACCTGCTGATTCCTCTTCCCCCAGAGAGCATATATTTTAGCATCAACTTGATATCTTCATTTGGACACCTAGGTATTGCAAATTTAACATGCCAATCTCCGCCATCCCATAGTCACACACCAAACACCACCACCACCTAATCTAACCACCACTAGCAGTCTTCTCAGTAAATCACAATCACAATGTCTTTCCATTACTCTGGTTAAAAAACTTGAGTTATTCTCAACCCTTGTGTTTATCTCATACTCAGCATCTGGTCCAATAGCAAATCCTGTTAATTCTACTACCAAAATCTCACCAAAACCTAGCCATTTTCTCCCTAACATTATTCTTGTCCAAATCATTACTCTTTTGCCTATAGTGTTGAAAGGCCCCTGATAATTTTCTTTTTTTACTGCCTCCCAATCTGAGTTGACAGTCCATTTCACAGCCATCCGAATAATCATGTCACTTCTCTGCTCAAAAATCCTCCAGTCACTTCCTCTCTCACCAAGAGTAAAAGTCAGAGAGTTTAAAATGGTTTACGGCACCTTTCAGGAATACCTTTCCTGATGTCTGCAATTATACTTTTTAAAATCTATCCTCTGCCTGTCTTTCTTATTAGCCTCTCCAGTCCAGCTACACCAAATATACCTCCACTAAGAGGCATTTGCACATGCTGTTTCTTCTATCTTCCATGCCTTTTCCTAAGATATTCCCACTTTTATTCACTCTTTTTATTTAGTTCTTTCCTCGAATATCTCTTTATTAGAGAGCCCTTTCGTGACTACCCTTTTTTATCTTTCTAATAACATTCTACACTCCTATACCCCTATTTGTTTATTGTTTACCTTTTCTACAAGATTCTAAATTACATAGGGGCAAAAAATTTGTCTGTGCACTATTGTTTCTTAGGTGCCTGCCACTCAAGAGGTACCTAATACATGTTTGTGGAAATAACAAACAAATGAATTAATAAATTAAATAAGAAACTATTTTTAAGCAAAGAATTTATTTGATTGTACTTGTATATTTAAATGATATATT